GCAAACAGTCCTCAAAGAAAGGCCATGCGAGTCACTTCTCGAAAATCCAATGAAACCCAGGACGAATACGAAACAAGGCTTGCCGCAGATGCGAGACGAGTTGCTGTTAGAAGATCTAACGAGACGCAAGATGAGCGTAAGCAGCGCCTTGCAGCAGATGCAGAAAGGAAGAGAAAGAAAAGAATGGGTGAAACTGAGCAGAGCAGAAGAGAACGTCTCGCAGTCAAGGCTGAAAGAGCAAGAACGCTAAGATCGGCTAAATCAAGGGAAAATGAGGTCATTGAGGAAACGCAAGATGGACCAAGCGGGGTCCAGGAGCTATTGAGGCTGCAGAACAATGAGGAGCGTACACCTGTCTCACCTGCAACCATGGCCCATTTGGATAAACATGGAACTGTGGTGAGATCCAACTTACATAGAATTTCCTCATTCTTAACAATTTGCTTATTAGGAGAATTCTGCACCTTCCTGCTTTCGTGATTCATCGAATACAAATCAAAGAGAATCTATAATTGAGGTGTGAGATTGAATAGTTCGACCTTGATTACTTCTCATGGCAAAAGTTAAGGCTTCCTTGCAACAATCTAACGAAAATGAAAGGAGCACTGCAATGCTTTACGACAGCAGGGATCCACTTGAAGCAACGGTCCGCTTGCATTTCTCATAAATATGAGTTTAACTACATGGCAAACGTTTTAGACAAGCTCATCTCGATACCAACATAGGCGTACCAGAACTCTTCCCAATCTCGGCATAGCCCTGACAAATAACTATACGGAGGAGAACTACCTAGGGTCGCTGAGTGTTAGTTGTAACTATTGTGGAGCTTTGTATTTTCCGAACGAAGCTACACCTGTTAATGGATGCTTCAACCTTTGTTGTAACTTCGGTAACATTTCTTTGGATCTTTTCAAGGATTTTCCCGAACTCTTTCTTTCGTTCTACACGGGAACCAGCGAGCTTTGTAAGAACTTCCGCGATCATATTCGCTCATATAACAGTGCCCTGGCTATGGCTTCCATGGGTGCTCAAGTGGATACACCCCGTGGTAACGGACCCTATTGCTTTAGAATCCATGGTCAGGTGTATCACTTCGTCGGTCCTATTAGAGCAG